AAAAAATTTGGGGGGCTCGTCTTGTTTCGAGGTCCTGGAAGATGTTCTGTAAGTCTAAGGGTAGAAAAGAAATAGTTTTTGCCAAAGATATCCACATTAGATGGAATAGTACATACAAATTGATTCACCAGATTCTAAAATATAAAGAGGAACTTGCTGAATTTTTTAGGGATGAACTTCGTATAATCATTGATCCTTTTGAATTTGTTATTGTTGAAAAATTGAATGCCGTATTAGAAGTTTTTAATAACGCAACTCTTACTTTTTCTCATGTTTACCAACCAACTACAAATACATTTTTAAAAGAGTGCGTTACAATCGCAACATGTTTTCGTGAAAGTAAGGCTGATCCAGATTTGTACCCATATGTCTCTCCTATGATACAAAAATGGTGTGCTTATTATTTGTACATTCCTGATATTTATAAAATAGGTATTATTTGTGATCCATGCTTTAAGATTGAAAATTATAAAATTTTAATTGAGTATTACTACAGTTGTTTTTTAGATGAAAATAGTTATTACTACAGTTATTTAGTAGAATGGAAAAAAGAAAGAGATAATGCTGTAACTTTTTTTGAGAATTTGTTTGAGGAATATCAGGGGTTATACGGCACTGTACAAGAAGAAGCAGCACCACCTCTGCCTCCGAAATCAAAAAAAGGTTTTGCCGGAATAGTCGGTGGTCTTCTTGCAAAGAAAGAGAAGCGTGCTCATTCTTCGACGAGTTCAAGTGGTACAACAGTAAGCTCGCACAACGAACTTGCTATGTACCAGGGTGTGCCATGCGATTACGACGACGACGACGTGGATTTTGATGTGCTCGGATGGTGGAAGCGAAACGAACACATGTTCCCATGTCTCGGCATGCTAGCAAGACAAGTGTTATCCCTTCCGGTATCAACAGTAGCAGTTGAACGAGAATTCAGTGCTAGCGGCAACATTCTAACCGACTATCGAAGTTGTCTTAGCGCTGAATCTCTTGAAACACTGGTTTGCAACCAAGATTGGCTCTTGGCAAGACGTCGAGCTCAAGAGTCATCGTACCTACTCGAATCGGAGCATTACATGAATGCAACAACAGATGGAAGTCCGAGTTCTGAAGAATAAGTTACAATTTTTTTATGTTAATGTAGATATGTAATTAGTTTTTTTAGGTGAGCGATATATAAGCTCNTTCGAGGGTTTCTTTACGGTTCTTTACCTCGTCGCTTTTTTTGAACCGTCAGGATATTAAATGTGGTTGTTCTTCAGTTAGTGTATTATTCATTTAAAATATTTAAATAACAACTACATTTTTAGATTTTTTATTTCATTCTTTCCTTAAACAATTGCAAATTTACAATTTTATACTTTAAAAATTTTAAAAAAAGCAAAAAAAAAAAAAAAAGGAGGGGGGGCGAAACCGGCCGGTCCGGTACCGGAACCGCCGGTCCGGGAACCGGAACCGGTACCGGCCGGCACGGTGACGGTTCCGGTGACATGGGGTGGCGGTACCGGAACCGGCGGTTCCGGAACCGGAACCGTACCGGAACCGTACCGTGTCCAGCCCTAGATCCTAAGGGTGGAGGGTATACATACCCTCCATACTTCTCTTAGTGCATAATCTCTCTCTTTCACATCACCGGCACATCATATTCTACTAGTTTTATACTTTTCTTACAACAGGTAGTAGTGCACATACGCTAATTCACCAATTTACTACAATAATTTTTAAAATAAATAAATTAAATCAAAAATGTAAATTAATTTTAAAATATTGTTTAAATAATTAACTCCAACCAATAATATAAAATAATTTTAAAATGTGTAATAAATACTCCATCTATTATAAATTAATAGTTTGGGTTTGAATCTTCGTGGAGTTTGATAAAATAAAATTGTATAATTAAAAATAATGTAGAGAGTGTGATTACATATACAAAAAATTATAGTTAAATAAAATTAAATTTTTTATATAATTAATTCCAAAATACAAAAAATAGAAATACAATAAAAATATAAAATAACAAAATTGGAGGCATAGTCTAATCATTATGTTTGGCAAATGCTTAGACCTCCATACTTAGAGGTGGCAATCGGATCAACCGGATCGGTTTCGGGTTGGATTTTTTCGGTTCGAATATCTTTCGGTTATATGTTATAATTGGTTCGGTTCGGTTCGGATCTGTTAAATTTCGGTTCGGATTTTGTTTTGGTTCTATACATTTTTCGGTTCGGTTCGGTTTCGAGTCGGTTCAGATACGGTTCGGTTATAAATCGGTTCGGATAGATTTCGGTTCGGATACAATTTGAGTCGGATATATTTCGGTTTCGGGTCTAGTTCGGTTTGGATATATTTCGATTTCGGATCAAATATATTTTGGATATATATTATTTTCTAATGAAAATTTAACTATCCGTGTTTCTTTTTATGTTTTATCACATTTATCAATCTATCATTAATTCAATACCTCATATTATTTTATATTTTTTCTAGTTATATTATCTCTACCCTAAATAATCTTCCCTTTTTGACTTTTTAGTCATATTTTACAAATTTGGACTACAAATTATGAAAACATATATATTTAATGGTGATATAAATTTAATATAATTAAATTGATTTTAAATTTAGTTTTGAAATATCAAATTTTTCTCACATCTACTAATATACTTAAAAATATAAATGAAAGGATAAAAGATAAATTCAAATAGTCTTATGTTCCATTTGAATACAATTTGGTAAAAATTGAGTAAAATTGGGTAAAATGAAGTGAATTTTATTCAATTGAGTGCAAAATTTGTAAATTATTGAGTATATTTGGTTGAAAATAGAGAAAATTAAATTTAATAGAGTCAAATATAATTAATTTTACACCTAAATGTAATGGTGTAGATCAAATTTGAAAATGATAACAGTAAAGGCTGCCGCTAGATAGTCTTTTCAAAATGCTAAGACTAGCATCTAATTTTATTGACTAATATTGAGTGAATTGGTTTGAAACTAATCAAATTAACTCTTAAATCAATAAAATTTATTGTAATGAGATGAAATTAGGATAAAATCTAGTTATTCCATACAATTCATCATATATTCCTTTCGTCCCAAAAAGAATATCATACTTCACTATTTAAAAATTACCAAAATTTTATTTGTTTGTGCGTTATCATTTATATGTATAACTTATCTTTAATTTCTACATATAATAAATTTAAGGCATAAAATTTTGTACTTTTTTTTCAAGAAGATAATCCATTTTATGAGGGAATGGGTAAGTAATGTAATTAGTTCAAATGGTAAAATAAAAGTAAAAATTTAAAAATATAATATGCTTATTGAAAGGCAAACATAGTTCTGAATTTATCGATTTTAGTTCTAATCGGGTTCGGATATTATCGGTTTCAGATCTAATCGGTTTCGGTTTTTATCAGTTTCGGGTATTATCGGGTTCGGATCTAATCGGTTTCGGGTTTAATCGGTTCGGATATTATCGGTTTCGGATCTAATCGGTTTCAGATTTAAATCGGATATGAATTATTTAGTTCGGTTTCGGTTCGATTCGGATCATTTCGGGTTTTCGGTTATAGATCGGATCTTCATTTTTCGGGTCATTCCGATTTCGGTTTCGGTTATTTCGGTTCGGGTAATCAGTTTCGGTTCTGTTTTGTCAGGTCTATCCATACTCATGCTTCTTAATAACACCACACAAGGGGCAACGTTACCATTTTATGGCAAATAACACATAACCTGAATTTGGTACCAAATTATGTTTACTTTACCTTACCCATGTGTTCACAAAAAAAAATGTTTACCTTAGCCAAACCGTCCATCCTAAAGCACCATAGAGGCACCCTCATTTATCTCCAATAACTGTTCTTTTTCCAAATCAGCTACTCTTTATAATTATAATATATACCGTACAAATGATGGAGTGGTGGTATGACGTTTCACGTAAATCAGCGGAGAATACTCATTTTCAAGTAACTAGATACTAATTTTTAAATGACTGAATATTTGATTTTTCTAAAGTTTAATTGTGGTTAAAATAAGTATTCAATTACTTGAAAATAAATATTCATGCAGATATACGGTAAAGGATATATGGTAAAAGTAGTCCCCATAATTCTCTATCAAACAAAATTCAACAGCTAACTTAATTATATACGGTACAATCGGTTGTACGATATATTCTGTACATCCGCGGCGAGTGCTTATTTACGAGTAATTGAATGCTCATTCTCGAGAAAATGATTACTCATTTTTTTAAAATTTAGTTATATTTAAAAATAAGCAGTCTCTTACTAACAAATAAATACTTAGTTATTCTATAATGAATATTAATGGTATGACATACCATACCTCCGATATAGGGAGTATCATATACGCACTCACAATTAAGTATTAACGGGTGAATGAAAGCGCTAACAAATTTCAGCTTGGCCTAACAATTTCCCTCCAAAAAGCCTCTCGCTCGACTCTCTTCGCTTTGATAACTGTTTCCCCTCCGAGCCCTTATTGCCGGTGGAATTTGCTATACAAATGATAATTGACGAAATAAACTCGCCGGATCTCCGGCGAATCGGCCACGATGATCCTCAATTTCACATATGCTATCAAATGGAGTTATCAATCAAGGAAATTGAGCGTCATCCGCCCGGAAAGCCCTTGCCGGAGACCCTCTCCACAGAACTCCAGCGCTGTATTATTCAACTGTCTCCGCTCGTACCGCTTCCCAACTCAGTCAAGCTGCAGATATGGAAGCTCAGCTACCGCCTCTGGAACGCCTGTGTGGATCTCTCTAACGCCGCAGGAGTCAAATCCTCCGCCTACAAACTCAACGAAGAACACGCGAAACTGCGGCAAGCCTCCGCGGACCTACTCTTCCTCGCCTGTGATGTCTCTGGTATTCCCTCACCCGCTTTTAAAACCGCATCCTTCTTCTATAAGACCGGCCTTATTTGGCACGAGCTTAAGAAGTTTGACCTCGCTAACAATTGCTTCGAGAAAGCCACTGATCTAACATCCAAAATAAAAATCAGTTCAATTTCAGATGACGATGAAAAAAGGCTTTTACTAGACATAAATATTGCTCGAGCGCGAACAGCTTGGGAGGTTTCCGATCGAAATTTGTGCATCACTTTGTTAAATCGGTCAAAAAACCTACTGTTTGGAGTTGCGGAGAATTACAAAGCTTTAGCAAACCAGTACATGATATTTGCAAAGACTCTAATGTCGAAAGGTGAAGTTTCCGGAGTGAATGAAGAAACAAAATTGATGAATGAAGCATTGGAGTTATGTGAGAAAGGATTGAAAATAGTGAAAGGGGTGGAGGAGAAAACAGCTTTGAAGGATCTGAAGTCAAAGACACTTAGATTTATGGCTGCATCTCATTTGCAGAGAGATGAATTTGAGAGTGCATTGAGGTGTGTGAAGTTTTTGAGAAGCGGTGAGAGAGATGAGCATCCTAGTTTGAGTGTGCTGGCCATGAAGGCTTGGTTGGGGTTGGGCAGGTTCGTAGAAGCAGAGAAGGAGCTAAGGGGGATGGTATTAGATAATGGTATTCCAGAAGGAATTTGGGTTTCAGCAGTAGAGTCCTATTTCCAAGCAGTAGGGGCTGCAGGGGCTGAGACTGCAAAGGGGGTGTTTCTTGGACTTTTGGGAAGGTGTCATGTCAGTGCCGGTGCAGCACTAAGGATTGTGAATAAGGTGATAGGAGACGGTGGGTGCGATGGAAAGGATGCAAGTGTGAGGGCAAAGGTGGTTGCTGAGCTGGCATCTGATGACAGAGTGGTGGAACTCTTTGCTGGAGAGGCAGCTGCCAAGGAGAGGACAGCCATGCATGCTATTCTATGGAACTGGTACATTCATGAACATTGACTCAATTTTTCACCGAGTGTTGCTATCTTCCTGATCATAGTGCAGCTTTCTATGGTAGCTCTACAATAAATTACATCTATAAAAGTGGTAGAGTTGTTAACATGTTTTACAACATATTCTCTCATTATATCTTTTTGCAAAAATAACTGCAGAGTTATGCTCTTTCATGAATTCTTTCATAATGAATCCATCTTTGGTAGCAAAGCAAAGTGAAATACATTAATTAGGATAATAAGAATAGTGTTTCTTTGTTCTTTCATCTGTGTTCCGGGAAAATGTGATATAGGTAAGTTCTCACCACTACTTTTTCTTTAGATGGAAAGATGGGAATATGAAATTCAATTCCAGTCAGAATATTGGGTAGAGCATATTCGTCCTTTCAGATCTTTTATTTGTGCATAACCATACGGGGTTCCATTTCACTTCCATATCTAGAGAAACTCTCTAACCGTACCTAGAATGATGAAATATATTCAATTGTTTAAATTACTACTTTTGCAGTGCTGCCGAACATTTCCGTTCAAAAAATTACCAGATCAGCGCAGAGATTTTTGAGAAGTCTATGCTGTATGTTCTTTATGATATGGAGGGTAGAACTATCAGGGCAAATGGATATAGAGTTTTGTGCCTTTGTCATCTAGGCCTCTCACAGCCTGATAGAGCTGAAGAGTACATTAATGAGGCTGACAAGGTGTGTTTAAAAAAGACCAAAGTAAAAATTTTGCTCTTTTGAGTCTCTTCAGCTATGTTATGATAATACTTTATACTTTTGCAGCTTGAACCAAATATAGCTACTGCCTTCCTAAAGGTGACCTTTCACTTGCCTCACACTTGTCAAGGAGTATGTAACTGAAAATCGGAATGTATGTTTACACTTATGCTGAAATCTTGCAGTTTAAGGTGTACCTACAGAAGAATGACAACAATGCTGCCACCTCCCAGTTGCAAGCAATGTTGAGTTGCCTAGATTTCACCACTGACTTTCTCTTCCTAGCTGCTCATGAAGCCACTGCTTCCCACTCTCTTCCAGTTGCCATAGCTTCCTTTTCCCACATCTTAGACTTATATTCTGCAGGGAAACCAATGCCAACTACTGAGGTCGTAACATTCCGGACCTTAGTGGCACTTCTATCTCACGACCATAACAATGATTCTATCATCCTCAAACAGATGAGACGAGCTCACGGTAGAATGTGTGACCTTGGGCCAAAAGCCTTTTTTGGGAAAGGCGAGGCTGGAAAACGTGAAAAAAATTGGTTTTCAGTGAATGCTTGGAATTCTGGGGTAAGATCTGGAAAGGAAGAAAAGTATGACTTATGTGCAGAGTTCTTTAGACTTGCATCGGAATTTTATAATGCTGTGACTGATGAAGAAACAGAAGGGAACAATATGATGGTTTGCCAGTCACTGATTTTGTCTGTTTCTGCCATTATTGCTGATGAGAAGCACAAACATGGTACACTCACGGAAACTGAAGTCAAGCAGGCCATCACATTGCTTGAAACGGTGCAGAAGGTAATCCATACTACCTCTGGTCCTCCTTTTATTCTTCTTAATGTCTTCTTTTGCATGTGTGTTGAAATGAAGCCACTTCCATTTGTATTATACAGATACTAAAGTCAACTGCAGGTGAATCCGACAATCTGTTAGAAACGATTGGACACAACTTTCTCTTTGCATACACATGGAGTGCATACGATCTGTACGGGAGGTTGGATGGAATGGGTCACCAACAGCTTCTCCTAATAAAACAGTATGTCAACTCAAAGACCAGCACCCCGGACCATCTCCTCCAAATAGGCCTAGATGCCTCACAAGGGCCGCGGTCAAACCAAGAAGTAGCGTCATTTGTACTGAACACGTGCCTCTCTGCCCTCCTGGCTGCCCCACTGCCCGATTACGCCACGGTCGCACTCGTCCTCAGAAAACTGATCTCCCTGGGGACCGTCTGGAAGGGTGACACGCGCGATGACAGCGTGATGGAAATGTACAGGCAAGCGTACAGGATCATGGTGGGGCTGAAGGAAGGGGAGTATCCGGTTGAAGAAGCGAAATGGCTTTCCATGACTGCGTGGAACCGGGCAGCGGTGCCCGTAAGGCTGGGGCATACTGAAACCGCCAAGAAGTGGATGGGTATGGGGTTGGAGTTGGCGAGGATGGTTCCCGGGATGCAGGCTTATATCTCATGTATGGAAGAGTTTGTTGCTGGGTTTGAAGAGGGAGTTCAGGAGAAGATGGACACTGGTAAAAGCAGTGCTGTATTAGTCAGCTGAATCTGATTCTCATTTAGTGCAGATAGTGAAAGATTCATCAGTGAATGATTTTTGTCAAAGTATCAGTTGGCCATCACTCGCCCCATATCCCCTGTCCTTTGTCATGTTATAGCCAGCTTTCATTGTGTTGTTGGGCACAATGTTGTTACTAGTTGCAATGCAAACATATAAGTAAGGCTTTTAAATTAGAATGTACCCCAACTTTTAGACGTACTAGTATCACACCAGTGCATTGCACGACTCATATTTATATTATGAAAATATATTGGTGTCATTATTGAAGAATAGAAATGGACTGTATGATGAAAAATAAAGCTGTAAAACATTAATATCAAATGAATTACAATTTGTGGAAAACTTCTTTATAAACTACAATATTATTCATTAATCATTGATTGCAACCTCATGTTTTTCGTTACACGCAACACGGTGTTATTCATTATTCATTATCCAAATGTAGGAAGAATTAATTGCTTAATTAATATCTTGTTGGGTTCATTTTGAAATACTGGCAATTTCGACAAAAATCTCCACCATAGACGATTGTTTTCCTCCAAACGTTTTATTTTCACCCATTAAATTGGAAAATCATAAAATATCGCGCAAATTTCTATATAAAGCTTCAAAGCAATACTTATGTGTCATTGGTGTTTCGTCCCAAATAATTAATGTTGCCTTCGCTACGAGATTTGCTAGTGGAGTTTTTTGTTTTATGTTGTAAGTTGAGTTTTCATTCGGGTTCAACGGGATTTTAAAATGTCAAGGGCATGTTCTTCCACCTGGTAAAAGTAGTGATGTTATTCGACTTGATGCGAAATTCAATACTATATCAGATCTAGATTGTATTGCATCAATCTAGATCTGATATAGCATTGAAGTTCTCTAGACATACGTCTTGTCAGTTCTTGTACAAATGATGAAGAAAACTTTACCTGCATTTGTATCAATGACATGCATTATAACATCATACCTTGCACGTTATTCGTCATTTAGCGTACCCAAAATGGTAAGTGCTCACTTTCCAAGGCTACACGATCATTATTATGTGTATATATATGTATATATATATGTACGAAAATGCAAGTCCTAGGCTATAAAATTGGAATCACAGATTCTAGATTCGTGGATGCATTTATTTCTTTTTTTTAATACTCATTAATCATCGTAAAATTGAGATAAGACTATGCTAATTTTAGATAATCATTCTGCGGACATCAAAGTCTTTTTTGCTGTTCATCCCATTTTTTATATTTATATGAACTTTAGATTAAAATTTATACTCCTTCCATTCTTATTTGACTATCCGGATTGGTTTTCAAACTTAAGATTTGACCAACAATATAATATCTCTTAAAATATATTAGCAAAAAATGATAGAATTTAGGATGGGGTATGGATCATTGGATTGGGCAATAAGACACTTGAGTTGAACCACATTAAAAGATTGAATCCAATCAATTAGTTAGTTCAACTCAAGAACTTATATACCGATTATTTTACTCTTGGACTTTCGATGTGGGATGCACTCTAACACTCCCGCTCAAGTGGACAACCGGGCCATTTTGAATCTAACCGGTTGACCACTTGCAAATGAACTCCCATTCCCTTGTTTTTTTTATTTTGAGCGCCAATACCTAAAAGACCACAAGCTGTTGGGTATGGACTTCCACACGAGCAATCGTGTTAAACGGGCCACAGGCCGTTGGGTACGTACTCCATACGGACAACTGGGCTAAAGACTAATAGGCCGCTAGGAATGAACATCTAGACGGACACCTTGACAAACGAGGTAGGCCAAAACCTGCTCGATACCATGATAGAATTTAGGATGGGGTATGGATCATTGGATTGGGCAATAAGACACTTGGGTTGAACCACATTAACAGATTGAATCTAATCAATTAGTTAGTTCAACTCAAGAGCTTATATACCGATTATTTTACTCTTGGACTTCCAATGTTGGATGCACTCTAACACTCTAACAAGGGAATCGGTATATAAGCTCTGTTATGGAACCAACTCAAACAAAAGCTCAAGCTTGTGGTTATGGCCTAGGAAATTTTTTTATATTCTAACACGCCCCCTCACGTGCAGGTATAGTTTTTTTGAGCCTTGCACGTGAAACTTTATTTTTTAAAAAAATTGGGTGGCGTTGAGTTTTGAACTTGTGACCTCTTAGTCAACATGTCTCTGATACCATGTTATAGAACCAACTCAACCAAAAGCTCAAGCTTGTAGTTGTGGCCTAGAAAATGTTTTTTATATTCTAACAAAAAAAATTAAAAACAATACATTTAAAGCAATTTTCGATACCAATAATTTGGTATAATTTTATATTTTAATTCATTGTATATTTCTATATATAGTTACTCAAACGTTTGACATGCAAAGTGAAACGAACTAGTTAAATAGAATCGGAGGGATTAATTAATATTAACTAAAATTATAGCAATAAAATCCTAAGTATTAATACTCCACCTTCAGTTATCAATTATGCAACTTTTTTTGTGATAATAATAATAATAATATAATAATAATAATAATAATAATAATAATAATAATATAATAATAATAATAATAATAATAATAATAATAATACTATTATTATTAATACCCAACTTAACTATTATTATTTAATTATTGATACTCCACCTTCTATCTAGTAATTGTTACTACCTCCGTCCTAGAGTATTTGTCCACTTTCATTTTTACACACCATCCAATGCACTTTTTTAATTCATTTTATCTTGTAATTTGTATATTAAAAAATTATAGAAATTATATATTAATAATCTATATGTTAAAACAAATCAAACAAGATCACACATGACTATATTTAGGCTTACACATTGAGAGAATTTGATGAGTCAAAGTGCTTAGAAGAACAGTTTCAAAAGTCAAAACTGGACGAATACTCCGGGACGGAGGAAGTATGTGACATTATTATTACTGTTATATTTGTGTGCATAATAATGTATAATGTTATGAGCTAATGGGTTTGTCTATGTGCGTAGTCGAAACGTTAGATATTTCTCACTTTGCTTCAATATTGAGCGTGTAACATTTTTTCCTATTTTCTACATGTAGGTAACATGAATGACGACGAATAAAGAAATAATCTGAAGGGCAACGAGGATGAGAAGATGGATGGATGCTGGCTGGAGGACTTTAGTTAAGATTAATATCATATTTGAGTTTACTATGTTTTAAAGGGCAAAATCCAAGTTGTATTTTGATTTAAGTACTTTAAGCTTTCGTACCATTTTTGTTTACTCTAATGAATGTTTTAAATAATGTTATTTGAATTAAATGTGTTAAATTGTTTTGAAAATTTTTGTGTTTGATGCCAATTTAGTATCAATCCGGTTCGCTAACTCATTGGTTCGGATTACGCAGGTTGGGATGTAACAGCTTCAATGTAAATTGAGCTATAATCTTGATTATTCAGCGTAAAGGTGGGGTTGCGTGTCTACTACTTGCAGAAGCTCATGTTTTGCATAATTTCCCTAGCTATCAGATTTTGAATTCGGAATTTTGAGTTGTGCGGACAGTTGAGCTACACCTCACCACCTTACATTTTTTTCGTTAGAATGGTTTTTTGCAATGAATTTGTGATCAAAGTTCAATTTATCTCCTCTCATTGATTGTTCGGTCGAGTCTGAGAGAGTCTTTGGAGATGGGACTCACCTAGGGGTGTAAACGAACCGAATCGAAGCGAATACCGATATATTTGAATTTGTATTTGTTTAATTTTTTCGAATACGAATCCGAATCCGAATATGAGACGAATTCAAAATAAGATTTGAATAAGTATTTGATTAATATTCGAATAGTTATCGAATCATAAACGAATATTTGAATAATCATACTATGTACGGAGTAATTTATATAATGGACCAACATCAATTTGTAATTTAACTTACGATACTCTTTATACTATACTATATTAAGAAATCACCCTACGTAGCACTCTAACTCATCTAATACTACACATTTAGCACTCCTTATTGTTTTTTACCAAATTAGCTATTTATGTTGTCAATCTCTTCCAATCATACCCTTTATGTTGTCAATCCTTTTTATCTATCCACCATCAATTGTTTCAATTCCTCTTTCAACTCCTATATCAAATTCGGACTCACATAATGTATACTTTGTGCATAGTGGCATTGTACTCTTTTTTTATCAAATTCTTTCTTCAATCAATTAAATGTAGTTTTGAATAAATATATATAATAAAAATACGATATATCAAAATTATATCATAAAAATATGCCAATTATAAATACTTCCTTCATCCCAAAATAGGGCTCTTATTCGATTTACGATGTTTGATTGAAATTATTTTCAAATCAATATAAGTAAAAATTGGTGTATAATTTAAAAATAGGAATTATATATTAAAAAACTACATAAAAAATTCTTTAAACAAGTGGTGACAATGGGACTTACATATAAAACTACCAATGTTATAAATTATTATTTGACTTTCATATTGTGCAAATAGCTTGTGGTTGATTTTATGACAATGTGGTTTTACCATGAAAGAGATTGTTATGAAATGTGTTACTCAATATGATGAATGTAAATATTTGAGCAGTACGGATTGATCATGTTCTGCAAACACTTTCTGGCAGTGAATTTGTCTTCTATATATAATGTGGTAGACAAGAGTGCAAATATGGCATGCAATGTATAAAAGTTCACGGCCTAAACAAATTTGTATGTACTTCATTAACTTCTATTAATAATATGGAAGTGAAATTAGACATACATATAAAACTACCAATGTTATGAATTATGAATTGAGTTTCATATTGTGCAAAAGCCATGTACTTCGTTCTATGACTATTGGGTTTGAACATTCAAGAGTTCGTTATGGAAATGTGTTACTGAATATGGGGCTGTTATTTTTTTGACACTGTGGAATAATCAACTTCTAGCTACACTTTTTGGAAATGTCCTATGACCATGTTTGCCTAGTGTGTTTTGGTCAAATGGGATTTATATCTAAAAATCCCAATGTAATAAATTATTCATTGAGTTCCTTTGGAAGTGGATACAAAAAAATCACCAAAATGACTAGTGCTTGAATAACTTTAATAAACAAAGTATGAAGTGTAAGCTCAAAAATTTTTGGCAGTGTGGAATGCTTGTGATCTAGGTATACTTTTTGGCAGTGTGTTATGTCCTGTGTTTTGGCCAGTGTGCTATGTTGCACAATTCTATATAATGTTGTAGTGTATGCTGCTTACAAAGTCTTAAAATTTACATCATAATACCTTCCATCATTCATTTCTTTTCAGTACCACATAAATGAAATTCAAC